GGAGGACGGACAGGCGACGCAGGGCGAGACGCAGGCTCACGACGCTCAGTAAGACCGTCAGTAGGACCAGAGTAAGGAGAAGGAGCAGACAGTGACTGAACAGGCAGTGGACACACTAAAGGAGGGGGAGGACCAGGAGGAGGCGAGAGACCAAGAACCTGCTGAAGGAGCGGAACGAAGTACGGCTGAGGGCGCGCGGCGACTCCAGACACAGCAGGGACAGCACTAGTGCCCCCAGCGGCAGTACCAACGCCCGAGTCCGCAGCACCAGCAGGGACTCCAACACCAGGGTCCTCAGCACTAGTCACAGCTCCAACGCCCGGGTCCTCAGCACCAGCAGCAGCTCCAACGCCCGGGTCCGCAGTACCAGCAGGAGCTCCACCGCCCGGGTCCTCAGCACCAGCAGCAGCTCCAACGCCCGGGTCCGCAGCACCAGCACTAGCTCCAACGCTCGGGTCCGCAGCACCAGCAGTAGCAGGGTCCGTGAGACGAGGCGCGCCACTACGAAGTCTGCAACGGCGCTCGTACCACTCACGGATCCGCTCACGAGAGGGGAGCTCCCGAGTAGAAGGAGAAGTGCCAGCACCAGTCTCCGTAGCGCGCCTGGTCCCAGAGGTACCCATCCGGAGGCTGCAGTACTGTAAGTACCACTCACGCAACTGCTCCGAGGAGAGGTCTCGGCCAGGCGGAGGACCCCTTGGCGCAGTACCCCCAGGCTCAGCACCCCCAGGCACAGCACCCCCAGGCTGAACACCCCCAGTGTTCGCACCCCCAGGCTCAGCACCTCCCGAGTCCGCACCCCCAGGCTCAGCACCCCCAGAGTCCGCACCCCCAGGCTCAGCACCCCCAGTGTCCGCACCCCCAGGCTCAGCACCCCAGCAGGACGAGAGTCGACAGCAACCTCAACAGGCTCGACCGGGTCTACCTGAGACACACCTGAGGGAGCGGCACCCTGAGGGGGGAGGGGGTCTACGACAGCAGCACCTGGCGCGAGGAAGAGAGGCGGGGGAGGGAGCGGGGAAGTGCGGTAGGGGAAGAGGCGGTAGTAGGGGACAGACTCTTCAAAAGTGACGTCCTGAGAGGGCAAGACCCGGCGCGAGGTGGCGTGGTAAAACTGCCAACCAGGTGCGTCCGGGACAAAGCCGAGGAAGACGCAGGGAACAGCACGAGAGGAGAGCTTGTCCGCAGACGAATCGCGAACAAAAGCTCGAGATCCCCAGACCCGGAAACGCGACGCATCGCCTACCTCCCCCGTCCACAGCAGTGTGGGCGAGGTCTTCGGCAAGGAGACACGGGGCCAGAGGTTGAGCTGATGCGCAGCGTACCGGACCGCAAACAGCCACAGAAAATGGGGGGCAGCCGCATGGATCAAGGAGGTACGAGCGACCTCCATGACCAGGCCAATGCGGCGCTCCGCAACCCCATTCTGCTGTGGAGAGGCCGGAAGCGTGAACGACTGCTCAATGCCGTGCTCAGCACAGTAGGCTGCCAAGAGGTCGGAGGAGAACTCACCACCTCTGTCAGAGTGCAAGCGCAGGACAGGAAAGTCCGAGCGGAAACGCTCGCTGAGCTGGAGACGAGCTCTACAGATCCAAGGGATCAAAACATCAGGGACCTCACCCTTGGTGCGCAAGGGGAAGACCGTGGTGTAGCGCGAGTAGTCGTCAACAACGATCAGGAAGTACCTCTCCTGACCCTGACCACGGACGCGGGCTGGGCCCCACACGTCCATGTGGAGCGTCTCCAAAGGAGCAGTCGTCGGGGGAAACGAGGAGGAGTGAGGAGCGGCGCGCTGCCGCCCCTCGACATAGGGAAGGCAGGGAGGAGCAGGCGAGGGTGGGAGAGGAGGGAGAACCCTGGGAAGACCAGAGACAAGGTACTGGGAGTGCATGGCACGAAGGCGCTGCACAGACGGGTGGCCAAGTCGGTGGTGCCAGAGGACAGTCTCGTGCGCTAGAGAGCGACACGAGCAGAGGGCAGACAGCTGACCTGACGCGAACGCAAACGCAGACGCAGACGCAGCGACCTGAGGGGAGGCAGTAGTCAGTGTGTACAGGTCCGACCCCGGCTGTCAGGTGAAGGTAGCCAAGTGGCGGCCCGTACGAGCACACGTGCAGTGTGTCACACGCTCGTAGGCAGGAGTGAACTGGTGAACACCCCCGTCCTGGAGAGCAAAACCTGCCACCAAGTTCGTGGAGAACGAGGGGAGGTGGAGACCTGACAGTTTGCCCGACGGGACCGCAGGGCAGGGAAGGACAGTGGAGGAGGTCGCAATGACCGGACCCTCAGAGGGGTCATTAAGGGAGACAGCAACTGGCCGAGCAAGGGGCTCAAGGGCAGTGCGGTCACGAAAGAAAGAGCGAGAGGCACCCGAATCCAGCGTGAAGGTGTGCAGTGCTGCACTCGACACAGTACCAGGGGGGGCAGACACGCACGCACCTAGAGCAGCAGCCTCACCAGCACCTGGGGTAGCAGACACGTGGGTACCTGGAGCAGCAGACGCACTCGTCCTAATGCCCGGGTTGGGCGGGACACTCAGGTACTCAGAACCCTCTCCACTAGTAGACATCACATACATGGCAGTGAGAATAGCATCAAAATCTAGAGCATAGATATCAATCCCCTTCTTCTGGAGATCAAGCCAGCGGGGCAGCTCAGTGGCCTGAGGGAACTGAACACGCCAAGCGTCGCGCAGACGAGCGAAGCAATGCTGTGTGGCGTGCGGTCCCCCACACGGCTGGCCAGTGCGGTCACCAGTGCGAATGACGTACGTGCAGCTAAGGCCACCCCCCCCCCCCCGTTCTGAGAGTACAACTCACGGACCTCCTGGGGCGAGGGAGTGTGCTGCTGTCCCTGGCCACCGCCAGTGCCGCCACGCCCACCACTCCCGCCACCACCTCCTCGACCACCCCAACCCCTGCCGCTGCCTCGTCCACCGCCACCCCCACTACCTCCTCCGCCCCGGCCACCTCCCCCGCCGCTGCCGCCACCCCCACCACCGCTGCCACCTCCCCCACCCGCGCCACCCCCCCCGCCACCACCTCCCCCACCACCGCCACCCCCGCTGTCACCACCACCGCTCTTGCCCCCCTTGCCCTTGCCGCTGCGGCGTCCGCCCGAAGCAGACGCAGTCCCGACCTTCTCAGCACCAAGGAGGTCGACAGCAGCAGCATAGGCGACAGAGGGAAGAAGGGGGGAGGGAGAACACCCCTCAAAGAACGGGGTGCGGGGGTCACCGCGAGAGGCACCTACAGCGACTATGCTAGTCTCGGCTGCAAGGAGTTCCTTCTCGAGGAGGGCAATGGTGAGCTCGGTGGGGCAGCGAGCGAGGAAGTGGTCCGTGACTGAGCGCATCGAGTCAGGGAGGCGCGTGACTAGGTGGTAGAGAGTGATCCAGAGCGGGGGTGGGTTCGCGGCTAGGAACTCATCAGGCAAAGCGGCGCGGAAGTGAGCCTCATTAGTGCGGAGGTGGGTAATGAGGTAAGCGACAGTGTGAAAGGAAGCTAAGTCGGGGAACAGGTAGGGAAGAGAGAGACGGCCTAGAGCATCAGAGGCCGGTGAGGAGTAGCGGGCAACGACAGCAGTGTACAGTGCCTGTGCAGTCTTGTGCTGCCCAAAGTGCTCGCGCTCATCTATCGGCAGAGAGTTGCGGATAGCGAAGCGAGCATGGGCGTCACGAGTCTGCCACTGTGAGCGAGCCGTGCTGTTGGCAGTAGCAGCAGGAGCAGTAGCGTGGCCTAGGGCGTGATCTAGCAGCGAGATGTCTTCCTTGGCAGTGAGCTGTAGGAAGAGGTGTAGGTCATCAAGCCAGGTGTCGAACTTCACTGGGCGCCCCTCAGCATCAAAGGCTAGCACTGGAGGGCTAGCCATGGTAGTAGTAGTAGTAAAAGCAGCAGGAGCAGTAGGTAGGTAGGGCGGCGCGGCTCGGTACAAGTAGGGCGGCGCGGCTCGGTATAGGTAGGGCGGCGCGGCTTGGGTCGGGCGGCGCGGCTCGGTTCGGGCGGCTCGGGTCGGGCGGCGCGGCTCGGGTCGGGCGGCTCGGTTCGGGCGGCTCGGTTCCGTTAGGGCCGGGCTGTTCGGTGCGGGCGGCGCGGTCTAGGTGGGGCCGTTCGAGGCGGCTAAGGGGAGCGCGGGGAGCGGGTGGGGTTGGGGACGGGGCCGACGCGGGCTGTAAGGGGTAGGGACGGGGCCGATGCGGGCTGTTAGGGGTAGGGACGGGGCCGACGCGGGCCTCTAGGAGTAGGGACGGGGGCCGACGCGGGCCTCTAGGGGTAGGATCGGGGGCCGACGCGGGCCTCTAGGGGTACGATCGGGGCCGTCGCGGGCCTCTAGGGGTAAGGACGGGGCCGTCGCGGGCCTCTAGGGGTAAGGACGGGGCCGTCGCGGGCCTCTAGGGGTAGGCTCGGGGCCGACGCGGGCCTCTAGGGTAGGCGCGGGGCCGACGCGGGCCTCTAGGGGACGAGCTCAGGGCCGACGCGGGCCGTTAGGGTTAGGCGCAGGGCCGATTTGGAGCCTCTAGGTGCAACAGCTCGGGGCCTACAGGGCCTCTAGAGGCATGAACGTCGAGGCGCCCTAGGGCAGGTAGGCAGATAGGCAGGTAGGTAGTGGTGGGCCCTTAGGAAAAACGGTCCTAGGAAGGACCTGCTCTATACCATGTTGAACAAGGAATGAAATGAATAAGAATGAAATGGGTACAAATATGGAAACCTAGAAGTGTGTACCCCCTTTAGGCTAACCCACTGTAGCCTAAACAACTACAACAATATAAAATGTTTGACAGACGCAGCTACCTGGGCAGACTCAGCAGCCGGAGGAGACTCAGTAGTAAGGGTGTACAGGCTCGACCCTGGCCGACGGGTGAACGTGGCCAAGTGTCGGCCTGTCCGAGCACACGTGCAGTGGGTCACTCGCTGACTCGCAGGAGTGAACTGGTCAACCCCCCTATCCTGTAGGTCCGCTCCACTCACCAAGTTCGTAGAGAACGAGGGGAGGTAGAGACCTCACAGGGTGCCAGAGGGGGCTGCCGGGCATGGTAAGACAGTGGAGAAGCTAGCAAGGACAGGACCCCCAAAGGGGTCTGCCAGGGAGACTGCAACCGGCCGACTGAGCGGCGTAAGAGTGATGCGGTCTCGAAAGAAGGAGCAGAACGCACCCGAGTCAAGGGTGAAGGTGTGTAAGGCCTGAGCCGACGTAGTACCTGAGAGCGCAGACTTACCAGCACCTGGGGTAGCAGACGCATTAGCACCTTGGGCAGCTGACGCACTAGCACCTAGAGCAGCAGCCTCACCAGCACCTTGAGCTGTAGCCTGAATGCCCGGGTCAGGCGGTACACACAGGTAACAGTCACCCACAACACTATCATCAACAGCATACATGGCAGCAAGAATAGCATCATAGTCAAGATCAAAGACGGCAACCCCCGCCCTAGACAGATCTCCCTAGCGAGGAATCTCTGTCACCTTAGGGAAGTGGCGACGCCACGCGTCTGTCAGGCGATCGCAACAGCGCTGGGTGGAGTGTGGGCCTCTGCACTGCTCACCAGCTCGGTCGCCGGTACGGAGGACGTAAGTGCAGGGACCAAAACCTCCACCGCGCTGACGCTCAGTGTACCACTCACGAAGCTGCTGAGGGGACAGGGTCACACCACTCCACTGCTGCTGGCGCGGACCACCACCTGAGCCACTCCTCTGCGCAGAGTCGCGACCCGCTCCACCACCGCCGCCGCCACCGCCGCCTCCTCCACCTCCGCCTCCTACTCCACCTCCGCCGCCTCCGCTCCCTCTGCCACCACCACCTCCTCCGTGGCCTCTGCTGCTGCAGCCGCCGCCGCCACCCCCGGCACCACTCCCACTACCACCCCCACTCCCTCCACTGCCTCCACCACCACCTCCACCGCCCCCTCCAGCCCCTCCAGCGCCCTTGCCCCCCTTGCCCTTGCCGTTGCGGCGTTTCCCGCTCGCGGCAGACGCAGCGCTGACTCAGTCGAAACCAACGAGGTCGGCCGCAGCACCAGAGGCAACAGAGGGCAAGAGGGGGGAGGGAGAACACCCCTCAAAGATGGGGGTGCAAGGGTCACCACGAGAGGCTCCTACAGCCACTATGCTCTTCCCTGCCGCTAGGAGGGCCTTCTCGAGGAGGTCAACGGTGAGAGTGGTGGGGCAAACTGAGAGGAAGTGGTCCCTGACTACGCGGAGAGAGTCAGGGAGCCGCGTGACTATGTAGTGGAGGGTGATGTACATTGGGGGGGGGGGGGTTCTTGGCGCAGAACTTAGCAGGATGCGCAGCGCGGTAGCGAGTGTCACTAGTGCGGAGGTGCGTAATGAGGTCAGCGACTGTGAGAAAGGCAGCAAGGTCAAAGAAGAGGTACGGTAGCATGAGGCGGCTCAGTGTAGCAGTGGCAGGGGAAGAGTAGCGTGCAACTACAGCGTCGTACAAGGTCTGAGCACTCTTGTACTGGCTAAAGTGTGCACGCTCAGTGGTCGGTAAGTGGCAGCGCACAGCAAGGCGAGCAGCAGCATCACGTGTGGCCCATTGTGAGCAAACTGTGGCGTCAGCATCAGCAGCAGGGGCAGGAGAGGCACCAGAAGTGAGGTCAAACAGGGAGAGACCATCTGCCCTATTGCACTGTAGGAAAAGCTGCAGATCATCTACCCAGACCTCAAAGTCAACTGCCCGACCCTCAGCGTCAAAGGTGAGAACACTAGGGGAGGCCATGACAGTAGTAGACAGGTAGTGAGTGCAGGGGGGCAGGGCAGTGCAGTGGCAGAGACGCTGCTCTTACCAGGCAAGTGGGGCGCTCGGGCGGCTCGGCGGCTCGGCGGCTCGACTGCTGGGCGGCTCGGCGGTCGGGCGGCTCGGCTGCAGGGCGGCTCGGTGGTTGGGCGGCTCGGCAGCTCGGGTGCTGGGCGGTTCCGCTGCTCGGCGGCTCGGCTGCTCGGCGGCTCGGGCGCTAGGCGGCGGAGCGGTGACGGGGCCGTGGAAGGGCGGCGACGGGGCCACTAAAAGGGCGGCGACGGGCCGCTGAAAGAGCGGTGACGGGCCGCTGGAAGGGCGGGCGGCGCCGGGGCCGCTGAAAGGGTGGCGACGGGGCCGCTGAAAAGGGCGGCGACGGGGCCGCTGAAGGGCAGCAATGGGGCCGCTCGAGGGCGGCGACGAGGCCGCGGAAGGGCGGTGTCGGGGCCGTGGAAGGGCGGGCGACGGGGCCGCTCTAAGGGCGGGCAGCGAGGCCGTGGAAGGGCGGCGACGGGGCCGTGGAAGGGCGGCGATGGGGCCGCTGAAAGGGCGGCGACAGGGCCGCAGGAAGGGGCGGCGAAGGGGCTGCGTAAAGTGCGGCGCGACGGGGCCGCAAGGGCGGCGCGATGGGTCTGCAAGGGCGGCGCGACGGGGCCGAAAGGGCGGCGCGACGGGGCCGTTAAGGGCCGTGAAAGGGGCCGCTAGAGGCCGCTAGAGGGGGAACAACACGGGGCGCGACTCGGGTAGGGGCCAAGCGTGCTCCATGCAGGAAAATAAAGTCGATGGGCCCTAGGAATAGTTCCTACGAGGGAACCAGCTCTATACCATGTGAAGATGAGAACGAGAGAATGATTGAACTATGAAAGAGTTGGGTACAAGTACTAACCCTTATTGGGGTGTACCCCTTATGGGCTACCCCACTACAGCCTACACAAATGTATAAGCTATAATGTTCTTGTCAGAATCCCAACCACTAGACCATTGGGATAAAAGAGCTTGTTTCAGTAGCGGGTCAGTGCGCCCATAACCCCCCAGGCGAACGCGCGGGTAACCCTCTCTAGGATCAATTGGGTATCCACAGTGCAGATCTACTGACACCCCCCCACACTGAGAGGCCCAGGACTAAGCATAGCGGCAACGGCCTACATGTGCATACACTGGGAATCGAACACGAGACCGCTCTGATACCATGTCAGAATCCCAACCACTAGACCATTGGGATAAAAGGGCTTGTTTCAGTAGCGGGTCAGTGCACCCATAACCCCCTAAGCAAACGCGCCTGTAACCCTCTCCAGGATCAATTGGGCATCCACAGTGCAGATCTACTGACAATTCTGACAACCTGGCCTTGCCCTGCAGCTCAAGCGTGGCTCTCCTGTGTCGCCCTGTCGTGGCCCTGTCCCTGCCGGCGCGCCTCGGCCCTGCCCCACCACTTGCGAACCTCTACCCACCCGCCCTGGTAAGAGCACCGCCGAGCCGCGCCTCTGCTACTGAGCTGCTCCTAGCCTGCCACTACAGTTGCTAGCCTGCTGCTGCTGCTGCTAGTGTTCTCACCTTTGATGCTGAGGGTCGGGCTGTCAACTTTGAGGTCTGGGTCGATGATATGCAGCCTTTCCTACAGTACGATAGGAAAGACAATGTCTCACTGTTCGATCTCACGTGTGGCGCCTCTGCTGCCACTGCTTCCGATGCTGACAACACTGTTCGCTCACAATGGGCCACACGCGATGCTGCTGCCCGTCTTGCTGTGCGTAGTCACTTGCCGTCCACTGAGCGCGCGCACTTTAGTCAGTACAAGAGGGCTAAGACCTTGTACGACGCTGTAGTTGCACGCTACTCTTCCCCTGCCACTACTGCCCTTAGTCGCCTCATGTTGCCGTACCTGTTCCCTGACCTCGCCACCTTTCCCACAGTCGCTGACCTCATTACGCACCTCCGCACTAGTGACACTGGCTACCGCGCTGCGCTTCCTACTGAGTTCTGCGCCAAGAACCCCCCCCCCCCCCCCCCCAATGTACATCACCCTCTACTACCTAGTCACCCGGCTCCCTGACTCCCTTTGCTCGTTCAGGGACCACTTCCTCTTTGTTTGCCCCACCACACTCACCGTTGACCTCCTCGAGGAGCGCCTCCTGGCAGCTGAGAAGAGTATAGTCATTGTAGGAGCCTCTCATGGTGACCCTTGCACCCCCTTCTTTGAGGGTTGCTCCCCCTCTCCCCTTTTGCCCTCTGTTGCCTTTGTTGCTGCAGTCCACCTCGTTGGCACCGAGTCGGTCGGCGTTGTGTCTGCCCCTAGCGGGAGACGCCGCAACGGCAAGGGCAAGGGGGGCAAGGGCGCTAGAGGGGCTGGCGGGGGCGGTGGAGGTGGCGGTGGAGGCGGCGGAGGGGGTGGGGGTGGCGGTGGGAGTGGTGGCGGGGGTGGGGGCTTCGGTGGCGGCGGTGGAGGCGGAGGCGGCGGCGGCGGTGGCAGTGGGAGCGGAGGCGCCGGCGGTGGCGGTGGGAGCGGAGGAAGCGGCGGTGGCGGCGGTGGCGACGGCGGCGGTGGAGCTGGTCGGGGTGGCGCTGTGTAGCGGGGCGACTTTGGTGGCGGTCAGCGCCAGCAGCAACATCACACTCGTGAGACCCCGCCCCCCCAGCAGCTTCGTGAGTGGTACGCTGCGCGTTTGCGGGGAAGGGGTGTTGGTCCTTGTGCCTACGTCCTGCGTACCGACGACCGCACTTGTGAGCCATGCAGTGGCCCGCACACCACCAAGCGCTGCTTCTGCCGCCTGACGGACGCTTGGCGTCTCCAGTTCCCTAACGCCACTGAGATCCCTCGCTAGGGCGAGCTGCTTAGGTCGGGGGTTGCTATCTTTGATCTTGATTATGATGGTATTCTTGCTGCCATGTATGTTGTGTCTACTAGTGATGAGGGTGACTGTTACGTGTGTATTCGGCCTGACCCGGGCATTGAGGCTGCTGCTCTAGGTGCTGGTGAGGCTGCTGCTCGAGGTGCTAGTGCGTCTGCTACTGTAGGTGCTGGTGAGTCTGCTCCCCCAGGTGCAGGTGAGTCTTCTCTCTCAGGTACCACGTCGTCTCAGCCTCGCACACCTTCACCCTTGACTCGGATGCTTCCCGCTCCTTCTTTCGAGACCGCACCACACTCACGCCTCTTCGTCGGCTGTTTGCAGTCTCCCTTGTAGACCCCTCTGAGGGTCCTGTCGTTGCCCACTTCTCCATTGTCTTGCCGTGTCCGGTGGCCCCTTCTTGCAGCCTGTCAGGTCTTAACCTCCCCTCGTTCTCTACAAACTTGGTGAGTGGTGCTGATCTCCAGGATGGGGGGGTTGACCAGTTCACTCCTGTGAGTCAGCGAATGACCCACTGCACGTGTGCTCCGACGGGCCGACACTTGGCCACGTTAACCCATCAGCTGGGGTCGAGCCTGTACGCACTGACTACTGAGTCTCTTCCGGTTGCAGCGTCTGGTAAGGTAGCTGCGTAAGGTCAGGTGTTTGCTGCAGCGTCCAGGACTGGTCCTGAGTCTGCCCCCTGCTCGTGTTGTCTCCTGTCCCACCAGACTACCTTGGTCACCCCTCCCTGCCTCGTCTATGAGCATGGCCTCCTGTGTCCTTGTCTCTGGTCTCCCCCGGTCCCTCCCTCCTCTTCCTCCGGGGCCTGCCCCTCCCTGCGTTCCCTGCGTCGAGGGGCGGCAGCGCGCCGCTCCTCACTCCTCCGAATTTCCTCCGACCGAGGCTCCGCTGTAGACACTTCACCTGGACGTGTAGGCCCCGCCTGCGTCCGTGGACAGAGTCACGAGCGCTACTTCCTGCTGGTGGTTGACGACTACTCGCGTTACACCACAGTCTTCCCCTTGCGCAGCAAGGGTGACGTCACTGAGGTGTTGATCGACTGGATCCGCGCAGCTCGTCTCCTGCTCAAAGAGAGTTCCGGCTTGGACTTTCTTGTTCTGCGTCTGCACTCTGACAGAGGTGGAGAGTTTTCCTTTAACCTTCTGCAAGCCTTCTGTCGTGAACAGGGCATCCCCCAGACGTTAACGCTTCTAGCCTCCCCACACAAAAATGGGATTGCTGAGCGCCGCATTGGCATGGTCATGGACGTCACTCGTACGTCCATGATCCATGCGGCTGCTCCCCATTTTCTGTGGCCGTTTGCGGTTTGGTGCAGTAGGTCCTTCAGCGCTTCGACTTCACGTACTCCTCGCCTCAGGCCACTCCTCCGTCTACTCGCCACTCGCTCTCAGCTCTGCCTTTGGATGAGTCCGTAGAGCCGAGTGGCCCGTACCCAGAGCTTGTTGGCTGCCTTATGTACCAGATGACCTCCACTCGACCTGACCTTGCATACCCTCTTAGCATCTTGGCACGCTATGTTGCTCTTGGGAGACAGAGACCTGAGCACATGGCTGCAGCAAAGAGGATATTGCGCCACTTGTGCAGTACGTCGGGCATGGAACTCGTGCTTGGAGGGCGGCGTTCAGCGGTCCTCACTAGTCAGGCAGACGCTTTATGGGCTGAAGACTAGGCTACGCAGCGGTCGTCACAGGGTTACACCTCCAGCCTTGGTTCCAACTCTGTTTTGTGGCAGGCTACCTGCTCGTCTTCTGTTCTCGGCTCCAGATGTGAGGCTGAGATCTACGCAGGGGCCATGGCTTCACAGGAGCTACGCTGGCTCACATACCTGCTCATTGACCTAGAAGAACCGCCTCGTTATCCTCCAGATCTGTGAGTAGACAACAAGGCCATGCTGGCCTTGTGTCGGGAGCACAGGCTGGAGCACAAAACGAAGCACATTGCTCTTCGATACTTCCTTGCTCGTGAGCTGCAGCAGCGTGGTCAGCTGCGCCTTGCTTATGTGGCCTATAGGGCCAACACTCCTGATATCTTTACCAAGGATGCCCTGTGATCCTCAGCGCTTTTGTACGATGCTAGGTTTTGTGCCTACTTGGCCTTGCTCACTTCTTGACCTTGCTTGTACTGTGATCTATT